CAATCTAAGAGCAAGTTAAACATGAAATGGAATCTAAAAGTAAAATAGTGTTTGTAATGTTAAACAGGGCCCTACATAAATCATAGAAAACAATCACTGTTTTCTACAATGATTTGTTGAAGCTCTAAGTACTTGTAAAAAAACAACTATTCATTTTAATATTTACCATAGATACCATGAAAAACAACTTTCCCCCCCAATGTTTACCCTAGATACAATGGCTCTATCAGAATTCCACCGTGTGTGTGTGTGTGTGTGTGTGTGTGCATTCATTCTTTAAGTTACGTTACTCTAGAAAACATTAATACAGAAAACTGGGTACTTTCCAGCCAGGATGTTGCTTTTTTGTTTAAATGTTTGCTTTTTTGTTTTTTGCTTTATTTTGTTTAAATATGGACTCTAAGAAAGGCTCAGATCCCTCAACTCCCTAAAGTTTACCTAAATTTTTGTTTATAAGAAGTAATAAAAGTTTTATATATATTAGCATTACAAATGCTTGTAATCTTACTGAGATCCACATTGTAGAAAAGCAACCAACAGGTGTAACAATCTTTAATCTTAGCAATGAAAGAGTTCATGATTCACAAAGAATGATCCCCAGACTCAAACAGTATGCAAAAGCAAAGAGCATTTATTCTTCAGAGAACCAGCATGGAGGAGTCTACCATACATCAGGATGGAAGACAGAGATATGGACTTTGCAGGGTCAATTTAAAGCCTCTTAGGGTAGTAGTGGGTGACATTTACCTTTCTTCCCCTTGATTGGTTGGCTCTGTCTCCAGGGTGTCCTTGTGATTGGTTAAGGCTCTGGGGGATTTGGGGGACTTTTGCTGATTAACTATCTGCTCAAGTTAGGTAGTGGGGCAGCTTCTGACTGCCCCTCATTGGCTGCACGTGAGGGGTGTTTTTTCCTGGAATTGATTTGTTTTGGACTTTTCCAGTGCTGGAAAACAGAAAATTAGGCCTAGTCTCCCAAACTGCCAGTTTGTAGCCTGTCATGGAGTCAGCCTGGCTCAGGCTAACTCAGTCCTCTCAGTCCCATTTCTCTTTGGTTTTGTACCCTCACTAATAGACACATGTGGATAAGTCAGGCACACCCTCCAGGAGGCCAAGGCAGCCTGTGCACAGAATGTTTGCTTCTAGGAGAGCATTGGTTATTTTTAGAAAACTCTCCCTCTTGCAGTAGTGGAAATGGAATTCTAGACCTCATGTGTGCTACATGCTCTGCCCTTATCTAACCCCTAGTCCTGTTTGTTTTTAAATCCTAATGTTGTATATATAATTTTCATTGGAAAAGTACATTTAAAGTGGAAGGTAGTGAAGATTTTAATTTTAAGGATTATGCAGAAAGTTCCTTGTAGATTCAGCTTCTGTATTGCTGCCAGTCTTGTAGGAAACACCTACTTAACAGCTTTTTTATGCAGTATTAAAGAATATATATGGTTATCTGAAAATGATAGTGCAATTGTTTCTATGGGAAAACACTGTGTGAATGGAAGGCTGAGGCAGGAAGATTACTGCTACTTCAAAAATTGGGCTAGGGAGTAACATCTTCCCCAGTCAAAAGAAAAAGTAAAGAAGTATATGAAGTCAGATGGAGTCAGCTTGGTTCTGGCTAAGTTAGTCCTCTCATTCCCACCTCAGATTTGTAACGGAATCAAACCATTGATTTGCCTTTTTTTTTTTTTAAGATTTTTCTCCTTCTCTTTTCTCTTTCTCTCTAGCTTTGCTTGCTCCAAACCCCACTCGCTCAAAGGTTTTTATTTGTTTATTATATATAAGTACACTCTAGCTGTCTTCAGACACCCTATAAGAGAGCATCAGATCTCATTATGGATGGTTGTGAGCCACTATGTGGTTGCTGGGGTCTGAACTCATGACCTCCGGAAGAGCAGTCAGTGCTCTTAATCGCTGTTGGGAGCCGACTCTTAGCAGAAAGCAGCTATCATCTTTGCAACCATCTCGAGCCATATACCCTGACAAGAGACTTGTTTTCAACAGCCTACAACAGCTGAGCACACTCTGATAATTATCGTGATATACCCATAATTTCCTTTCAATCAAGGCCAGGCAGTGGTGGCACACGCCTTTAATCCCAGCACTTGAGAGACTCAAGGCGAGACTCAAGGAGAGACTCGAGGCGAGACTTGAGGCAAGATTAAAGGCGAAACTCAAGGCGAGACTTGAGGAGAGATATAAAAGGAGAGAACAGAGCATACTCCGTCTCGTCTCCAGGGCAGACTCTGTTCTATCTCCAGAGCAGACTCTCCAGATCAGACTCTGTCTCGTCTCCATTCTTTGTGTCCCCATCCCCACTCTCTCTCTTGCTAGGCCCTGACCCGCGGACCGGAACAACAGAATGGGCCGTTACAAAGTGGTGCCCAACGTGGCATATCTTTGGATACTCAACAAATAGCTAAGCCATCTCACAAGCACCACCCCCCCTTTTAATATGTTAAGAAATATTAATGTTATTTAACCAGGGTTAGGGTTAGGGTTAGGGTTAGGGTTAGGGTTAGGGTTAGGGTTAGGGTTTGGTTCACAGCCAAATATTTATTCTATAAAAACTTTACAGAGTGTACAGTTTATATATAGTTCAAACTACTGAACAAAAGAATAGGTCCCACAATTGCAAAAATACTGTAGCAATCCATCCAAGGTAAAGACAGATTTACACACTACACAGCCCTCCACATGGCCAGGGAGGCATCAGTTCTGAGTATAAACTTCAAAACTATATAAAAATGGAGTGGAGAAATGGCACCCCCTCTCCCTAGAGGCATGAACATGTTTCAAACATTTCTACATGTTTCAGTAGAGGGAGGGAGACAAGGCTAGCTTGCATTCTTTAGGGTCTGTGATCTAGATTTAAGAAAAAAAAAAAAGAAGAAGTAAAACAAACATTATTCCAAACTCTTTTTTGTTTGTTTGTTTCGAGACATGGTTTCTCTGTATAGCCTTGGCTGTCCTGGAACTCACTCGGTAGACCAGGCTGGCCTCGAACTCAGAAATCCACCTGCCTCTGCTTCCCAAGTGCTGGGATTAAAGGCATGCGCCACTACTGCCCGGCTATTCCAAACTCTTAAGTCATGGTTTGAATCAAGGAGCTGGCCTTGTGTAACCCAAAGCCCTGGTGTGCTGCAATATGAAGATGGAGCTGGAGCAGGGCAATGAGAGAGAATGTGAAGTATTGAAGAAGATCTGGGGATCAGCCCAAGGCATGGATCCCAGGTTAAAGTCATTACAGAGGAAAATCCATGAATTTTGATTGGCAGGCTGAGCAGGACACCAGTGACTCCCACTTGCTACGGTCATCCTTAACAGTAGCTTGTGCTTGGAGGCAGAACTGGAAACATCCAAGCTATTTATTACCGAGGAGTTTTTAAGTACTGTAACTTTACAATAACTACAAAGCTTCTTTGTCTAAGCGTCTTTATTTTATACTCATGTATACACAAGTATAAAAATGTAATTGAGCACTAGGCTGCTCTTGGAAGCTCTAATTTTCTTGTAAGCTAGTTGTGAATTTTTTTCGTTTTTGTTTTTAAAAGGAATTATGTTTTCATTTTGGATGACAGAAGAGTTTTATTTGTCATTTCTTTTTTTCCCCCAAGGTTTTAGTCATTGCCCAAGGGGTCAATTGGGACCTAAGAATTGTAGTTAGTGCCAAAATAGGAGCTTTCTTGACTTAGCATCATATCTTGTAAGGTGGGGTAATGGACATTGTATTTTTTCCTCTGTAACTGCTTCCTGCTGGCATTAGGACATTGTCAAAGAGGCCCAAGAAGGCTGAAATGCTAGTCAAAGGCTGGAGAATGGGTCCTTTATCAGAAACATCTGATTAGGTGATCCAGCTGAAAGACAGGGAAACTCATATTGATTGTGCTGGTTAATCATCAGCTTTCAGTAATCAGCATTCAGTAGTTTGCAGTCCTCAGGTGGTCCCTGGATATCAGCCAGGTGAAAATCTAAACAATTATAAAGTAGGGTCAGAAGTTAAAAATTTGTCTAATAATTGACAAAGGTAAGAAAACCTTAAGATCAAGGGAAAAATCCCACTCTCAAGGATAAGAGGCACCGCTGGGCACGCCTTTAATCCCAGCACTTGGGAGGAAGAGACAGGTGGATTTCTAAGTTCGAGGCCAGCCTGGTCTACAGAGTGAGTTCCAGGACAGCCAGGACTATACAGAGAAACCCTGTCTCAAAAAAAAAAAAAAAGAATAAGAGGCACCCATTTGTAGTCCATCTGGTTTGCTGCAAGTAGCTCCAAGTCTTATGACTCTTTGATTCCCTGAAGTTTATGTGATCTTTAGTTATAAGAGGATATACACTAATATTTATCATTGCACTGAAATCTGTATATTAGAAAAAGCAGATAACAGGTGTCTGTAAGACAATAGGAGTAGAATCATGTCTTTGAGACCTAGAAAAAGCAATAGTTTTGAGTTAAAAGACAGAACATTTTGTCTCTTAGTCCAGAGAGCTAGATATAGAGATTGAACTGAGATTTTTTGTTTGTTTGTTTGTATTATTTTGTTTTTGTTCTGTTTTTGCATGATAACAAACACCTTTAAGTCTATATTTAGAAGACAACCAAAGTAGATTTAAAACCTTAAGCTTGTGACTGTATTGTAAACAACCAATGCTCCATTTGCTTATCAGAATTCCTTTGATTAATGTGAAATTTTTGACCTTTTGAAATCTTAGTATAATAATACCACAGAAGAGGGAAAGAAATCTGAAACATTTTCCGTTTTTCAGATACCTTAAATTATAAGACTCGACCCTTGGTCAGTGGTACTTACTAAAAGAAATCCCCAAGTGAGACACCAAGATGAATATCGATGCAAAAGCAAGAGGATTTTTTTTTCTTTTTTCCAGTGCATCAGGATCGACCTTCAATTAGTCCCTCAAGACAAGTGACTAGAAGGCAACCCCAAATGGCTATTATAAGGAGTTTTTATACTTTTTAGGGGCACAGGTTATATCAGCAAGGTTACAGTTTAAACTTATTGACTAAGCATATTTATCTTTTTTTTTTTGTGGGTGCAGTGGACTTTATTGATGGTATTCAAGAGAGTAGGGAGGGCTCCCTAGTCCCCTCCTGTTATTATGGGGGTCGGGGATGGAAATTGTGAGGGAGATGCTCAGTGTTGGGGGCTCAATTGGGCAGGGACTCCTCAGCAACCGAGGGCCTCTCTCTTGCTCTCAGTGTCCTTGCTAGGGTGGGTGGTCTAGGGTTTCTTACTCCTTGGAGGCCATGTAGACCATGAGGTCCATGACCCTGTTGCTGCAGCCGTATTCATTGTCATACCAGGAAATGAGCTTTACAAAGTTGTCATGGAGAGCAATGCCCCAGCACTAAAGGTGGAAGAGTGAGAGTTGCTGTTGAAGTCACAGGAGACAACCTGGTCCTCAGTGTAGCCCAGGATGCCCATTAGTGGGCCCTTGGATGCCTGCTACATCAATTTCTTTATGTCATCATACTTGGCAGGTTTCTCCAGGAGGCATGTCAGATCCACAACAGACACATTGGGGTAGGAACACAGAAGGCCATGCCCACCCATTCCCATTCACCTCTGGGATGACCTTGCCCACAGCCTTGGCAGCACCACTGGATGCAGGGATGATGTTCTGGGCAGCCCCATAGCCATCATGCCACAGCTTTCCAGAGGGGCCATCCACAGTCTTCTGAGTGGCAATGATGGCATGGACTGTGGTCATGAGCCCTTCCAGGATGTCAATTGTCATGGAAGACCTTGGCTAAGCAATTGGTGGTGCAGGATGCATTGCTGACAATCTTAAGTTGTCATATTTCTCGTGGTTCATACCCATCACAAACCTGGGGGCATTGGCAGAAGGGTCGGAGATGATGAGTCTTTTGGCCCCACCCTTCAAGTGGGCCCCGGCCTTCTCCATGGTGGTGAAGATGTCAGTAGACTCCACAACATACTCAGTATCAGCATTACCTTATTTGCTGTTAGTTGGATCTCGATCCTGGAAGATGGTGATGGGCTTCCTGTTGATGACAAGATTCCCATTCTCAGCCTTGACTGCGCCGTTGAATTTGCCATGGGTAGAGTCATACTGGAACGTGTAGTTGAGGTGATTGAAGGGGTCGGTGATAGCAACAGTCTCCACTTTGCCAGAAGGCAGCCCTGGTAACCAAGCCCCCAATACGGCCAAATCTGTTCACACCGACCTTCAGCATCTTGTCTATGGGTCGAGGCTGGCACTGCACAAAAAGATGTGGCTGTCTCTAGAACAGGAAAAAGCAGAGAGCCACATATTGACCTTTAAATCTATTGGCTAGCAAGCATGGGCAGATCATGACACGTGTTTGAACTCTATCTGGGACTTTCCAGAGGGTCAGGTGACTATCAGTCAGTACATTCTGTGTTTTTTCTGAGGATTGTTTACTCAGGAATGTTCCTGTAAGTGGAGAATGGAATTTGGCCTAGCCTTGACCCCAGGTGGGAGGGGGAAGCTGAAGGAGGAAGGAGTGTAAGATTGGCAAAAAGCCCTTAGGGTCCTTCAAAATCACTTTCTTATACCTCTACAACTTGTATTTATACACCTTAAATAATTTTCAGACCCTCAGATCTTACCTAAGCTTTTTTTTTTTTTTAAAGATTTATTTATTTATTTATTTTATGAGTACACTGTAGCTCTCTTCAGACACACCAGAAGAGGGCATCAGATCTCATTACAGATGGTTGTGAGCCACCATGTGGTTGCTGGGATTTGAACTCAGGACCTCTGGAAGAGCAGTCAGTGCTCTTAACTGCTGAGCCATCTCTCCAGCCCCCTTACCTAAGCTTTTACACCCTCAAACCTTTATACACTTTAGAACACTCAGAACTTGCATAGACTTTAAATCTTTTTCTTTCCATTTAATCACTTATGAGAGACAGGGGTAGCTATTACTGAGAACAGTTATTGCAAAGCACATTTATTTTATTTTTTATTTTGGTTTTCTTGAGACAGGATTTCTCTGTGTGTAGCCCTGGCTGTCCTGGAACTCACTCTGTAGACCAGGCTAGCCTCGAACTCTCAAACTCAGAGATCTGCCTGCCTCTGCCTCCCAAGTGCTGGGATTAAAGGTGTGAGCCACCACTGCCCGGCCGCAAAGCACATTTAAATAAAGGAACAGTATAAAGCCACATCTGAAACCTGTTTATATTTTAATTTGGAGCCTGTTAGTAAAGCAAATCTGTCTGCCTTTTTAAAACAAGAGACCTAATGTTCTTATTTAATAAGTTTACCAATAAACTAACATAGTAGTGGATTACTTTGACATAGTAATGGATTAAGGAGCTAGTAGTCTGCTGTCCAGCTGTTAAGCTATAGGTAGCCATCAGTGTGATCAGAGAACTTGAAGGATATATTGTAATAAACTGACTAAATATCAATTAAAAAATAACAGATTTACCCATTACCCAGACAGCCACCACCCCATTAGGTTCCTGTGATGTCAATGGCTTCATTGGGAACACAGGTCTCAAGGTAGGACCAATCTTTGGCTATCAGGCCTGGCTAATCTGAGAGGCATTCCTGAGGAGGAATTTGGGAAAGATGACCTTGTGCCAGGGAAATGTTAGTGATCCCCAAAAAGATAGGAGCCGATCTGATGCAACTCACAGCAGGGTCTTTATTCTACTCAAGCGAGCTGGGGCCTCTACAACCCACCACCGTCACACAGGACGGTTTTGGTAGTGAGGGAACCCTGAATGTCTATCGGTTCAAGGCTTTATAGTAAGCAGCAAGCAGGGAGTACATGTGCAAGCATCTAATTGGAAAGCTACTGTGGCCTTTAACATAATTGGCTGGTGTTGGGAGTCATACCCTAAACTTAAATTCTGCTCCCCTCTGCACTGGTGCTCATTAGGCAAGGAGTGGGCTTGTAACCTGGGGTGCAGGTTTGTTGGGGGGAATAACCTGGAGACACTGGTCTTGTTAAGGATATAACCTGAAAACTCTGTTCTTGTTGAGGATTAGCCTAGAAACTGGAGCTAGGCTCAGATTTTGTTGGGGGTCAACTTGGAAACTAATGCTAGGTACCAGCCTATTAGTCTACCTGTGTTCAAACTTAGGTCAGGTTCTCTAAAATGGAGTCTGAACTTAAAAGATTTGTCATCTCAACCTCACCTTGTTAGTCAATTCTCAAGGTGTCCTTTGTTTGTTCACAGTTCAAACTAGGCCCTGGCAATTGGATTGGCGAGGCATTGAGGCAGTTATGTACAGTAGTTAGAATACCATAATCCCAGTGGTATCCTTGGTTGTTGTACCCTTTTCTTATTGGAGGCTTGGGGGGAGTGTCATTGTTAGGATTTGGGAGTCTCTGTTATAAGTTTAAATATATTAAATACCATATTCAGCAGTTCTCTGATTGGTTTGAGGGCTGGTATCTGCTGTGTTTTTAAAAAAGATAAAGAAAGGAGGAATATGTTTTGGTGGATGTGTGGTAAGGTATGGGGGAAGAGGGTGCCTTTGTGGGCCCATGGTGAGGCATCCCTTCCCCCTGAGGGACCAGCCACACGACGGTATAGTATAGAATAGAGTTGGGCTGGAGAGATGGCTCAGAGGTTAAGAGCACTGGCTGCTCTTCCAAAGGTCCTGAGTTTAATTGCCAGCAACCACATGGTGGCTCACAGTTATCTATAATGGGATTCAATGCCCTCTTCTGCTGTGTCTGAAGACAGCTACAGTGTACTCATATACATATCATAAAAATTTAGAATAGAGTTTATTTAGAGCATGGGGAGGGGAGTTGAGAGGGTAGTAGAGACAGAGAAATGTTGGGAGCTGACTCTGAGCAGAAAGCGGCTATCATCTTTGCAGCCATCTTGAGCCATATACCCTGACAAGAGACTTGTTTTCAACAGCCTACAACACTGAGCACACTCTGATAATTATCTTGATATACCCATGATTTCCTTTCAATCAAGGCCAGGCAGTGGTGGCACACACCTTTAATCCCAGCACTTGAGAGACTCAAGGCGAGACTCGAGGCGAGACTTGAGGAGAGATATAAAAGGAGAGACTTGAAGAGAATAGAGCAGCTCTGCCTCATCTCCAGAGCAGACTCTGTCTCGTCTCCATTCTTCGAGTCTCTGTCCCCACTCTCTCTCTTGCTAGGCCCTGACCCTCGGACCAGAGCAGCAGAATGGGCCGTTACAGAGAAAGACAGAGAGAGCAGAGGAGTAGAGAAATAGAGGCTGGCCATGAGCACATGGAGAGAGAGGGAAGGAGAGGAATGGGGAGAGATGGGGGGAAGGGGTGAGAGGACAGAGTGGGAGCAAGAAGGCAAGAGCAAGAGAGAGCAGAGGGGGCATTCAGCCCCTTTTATAGTGAGTCAGGCATACCTGGCTGTTGCCAGGTAACTGTGGGGTGGAGTTTAGACAAAATGCTAACAGTATCTACTTAGCATTTCTGAGTTAATCTTTGTTCTTAGTTATCTGCTGTAAACTGTTCCTTCCAACAGGAGACTAAATAAAGCTTTAACTTATAATTAACTACATCAGTTTTTAGCCTATCAATTCGTTACGTTTGTGCCTTAAATTCTGTTTTGAATTGACACTCTTCTAATATTAAAATAAAAATTTTTAACCCAAAAAACATACTTCATAAAGAGACATGACAGTTTCCCATATAGTTTTGTTTAAGCTGAAGCCACTGCCAGGACAGGAAAAAGTTAAAATGGCAGGTGCTTGGCTGAGAGAATTCTCTCTCTGGGCTGCTAAAGCCTTGCCAGAGCTCAGGCAAACTTGAAAGGAGAAGGTGGATTTTAAAAGCCAGTTTAAAACAAAGAAACAAAAAAACCAAACAAACAAGAAACTCCTTAATTATGTAAACTGTGCTTATTTTTTATTCTTGGTATTATATTTGATATAGGAAAAGGAAAAAGACAAAAGCTTCTCTTTTGAATACTAGGCCATCTCAAATCCTTGTGATGCTTCTAGGGGCTGGTATTGCTGTTTGAGAACCATCAACTGAACAGTGGAAGTCTGCTCTTTAACATACTTGACTAAAGCATTATTTGTACATGGTCCACAATCCAGGGCCAATATCAGAAGGATGAATGGGCTAGTCAACATTGAGACAAGGGTGGTTAACCAAGAGGACCGGTTAAAAAGAGACTCATACCAACCTTGAGACTGTTCTCTTTCCAATTTCCTGTCATTTAATCTTTTTCTAAGCTGAGCCATATTTTCTCTGACTATTCCTGAATGATCAGATCAAACACAGCATTCTTCTCCTAGAGCTACATATAAACTACTTTGCTGAATAATAAGTCTAAGCCTCTTTCTATTTTATAAAACTACTTCAGCTAGAGAGGAAAGGGAGTCTTCTAGAGAGTTAATAGATTTCTCTATTCTTCTTATATCATTACCTATTGCAACATGTAAGGTTCTGTGATACTTGTCTTGCTCCTGTGCCAGCTGCTCTAGCTACTCCTATACCAAGCTATTATGGATAACGTTGCACAGCCACAGCAACACTTTTCACCCGGTAAGCTGGAAAGTCTGATTGACTGGGAATGGCTTCCCCTGTATAGTTATTCAAGAAACTAGCCATATCAGAGTAAAGAAATCAGGGCATATATTTAGAACTAGAGTGTGAATGCAAGGGGTGAGTCCTGACACACAAGCCAAACAAGCATCCTCTGGAGACAATAGTTACCCATATTCTACACTGGTAGGTGTTGCAATGGGACTGCAGAGGTGTGAATGTTCTGATGGTATCTGACTTCCAACACAAGGGCCTTGTTCTTCTTCTTCTTTTTTTTTTTTTTTTGGTTTTTCAAGACAGGGTTTCTCGGTATAGCCTGGGCTGTCCTGGAACTCACTCTGTAGACTAGGCTGGCCTCAAACTCAGAAATCTGCCTGCCTCTGCCTCCCAAGTGCTGGGATTAAAGGTGTGCGCCACCACCGCCCGGCTGGGCCTTGTCCTTCTATTGACTGTAGGGTCAGATTACCTCTTTCTGATTGCTGCCATCTACTCTGTTGTCTGTGAATAGTTCCTAGGAACAGCTATTCCTTCATAATAGGGGAGTTGAACATTTAAGCATAACCAACAGTCTGTGTCAAATCTGGATGAGAGGAGTTAAGTACCTGGAATGAAGCTTCCAACCATTGTAGGGGTGGGTTCTGATCCAGGTGGTGAAGTGGGGTTTTGTTGGAGTAGGAGGTTGGTGAGGTTGCCTCTTTTTTTTTTTTTTAAAAAAAGATTTATTTATTTATTTTATTTATGAGTACACTGTCGCTGTCTTTGGACACACCAGAAGAGGGCATCCAATCTCATTATGGATGGTTGTGAGCCACCATGTGGTTGCCGGGATTTGAACTCAGGACCTCTGGAAGAGCAGTCAGTACTCTTAACCGCTGAGCCATCTCTCCAGCCCCGAGGTTGCCTCTTGGTGTAGGGGTGGGAATGGGAATACACGTAGGCAAGGGCTAGGGACCTGGCCTTGCTAGGACTTTATTGGGTCCAATGGGTACCTCTGGAATCTGTCTAATAACTAGTTGGACAGTGAACAGAATTCCTCCATAAGAGATCCCTACTCCTTAATAGTCTCTTAATCCCCAAATATAACCCAAATCCCATTCTGTGGCCTGTTTTCCTCTTTCTGTGAAAGTTTAGTATCAGGGGGTTACAAGGTTATTATGGATAAGGAAGAAAGGATGTGTTCCATTTCTAACTAGTTTGATAAAATCAGATTTTAACTGGGGGAAGGGTCTCCAATAGATGGAGCCTCTGCTTTCACAACCCCAGTGTGCACAGTAATACTCAGAGGCTCTTACATAGCCTCTGGCAAGCCTGATGTTCTGGGCACACATAAAAATATTGTTCTTGGAGATCTTTTCTCCCATAGGGGTCTAACTGGTAATGTTTTGTGGCAATTTTTAACAAATCTTTCAGATCAAAGTATAAGTCTAGGAACCAAAGTATAGTATAAGCAGTGTGGCTGACATGGTGGACAAATATCTTGGTCAAGGTTAGTGATTACCCACGTGATGTTGAGAGGCTGATGGGTGTTGGGAGCCAACTCCTATCAGAAAGCAGCTATCATCTTTGTAGCCATCTCAGGCCATATACCCTGACAAAAGACTTGTTTTTTCAACAGCTCACAACAGCTGAGCACACTCTGATAAACATTTTGTTTTTCTCACATATCTTGTTTTGTTGTATAGTGTCCACAGGTGCAAGGCACGTGGCAAAGTGCCTTCAGCTGTGTTCCTCTGCTTGTCCACAGCTTTGAGGCACGTGGTAAATTATCTTCAGCTGTGTTCTCCTGCTTGTACCTATAAATACCCAGGATTTCCTTTCAATAAATGGGACTTGATCAGACTCTCTTGTCTTCATTCTTCGAGTCTCTTGCCCCTCCATCCACACTTTCTCTCTTGCAGACCCTGTTTACTGACCCGCATGGACTGGGTCACCTGGCCCTCAACATGGGGCAGTGCAGGCCGGATCAAATGGGGATTAGAGGTAACAATTGCAAGATGCAGGCATCTAGTGAGCAAATTTTGGAATGTTGAAGTTACAGCTTTAGTGAATCCACTGGGTGAGAGATGACCTTCCACTGCTCTTGTGGCAGTTGTCTGGGAGCTTTGTCTTTCTCCTGGCAGCCTTAATATGGGAGTGGTGTATCCACATTTGGATCCTGTCCATCTTAATAGCTGTTGGTATGATCAGGATCACAGTGTGAGGCCCTTTCCAGTGAGGTTTTGGAGTCTTGCAGTTATGTCTCTTAACCAGGACTTTGTCACCTGGTTCCAAGAGCAGTGGAGGTTAAGGGAAGGGACTCGAACCTCATGTATGATGGACAAAGTTGCTTCTGGACTCTATGGAGACCCTCCAAGTATTTTAAGAACTTATGTTGGTCATATTCAACTAGAATGTCAGACTGGAGATTAGGCAGTATGGGAGAAGGTTTCCCAAATAGGATCTCAAAGGGTGTAAGACCTAAGGAATAAGGAGTATTCCTGGCCTTATATAAGGCATAAGGTAGGAGAGACACCCACTCACTGCCAGTTTCAAGGGTTAATTTGGTCAAGGCCTCCTTCAGGGTCCTATTCATCCTCTCTACCTGCCCTGAACCCTGGGTTCTATATATATATAATGTAATTTCCAATTTGTGGGGAGCATATCTGGAGTCAACTTTGGCTGACTTCCTGCTTATGATTAATCACGAATGAGTCTGCTGACATCTCTCTTTGTTTTTAGTTAAGGCATGTGTCATATCCTGCCAAGTTCCTCCATTTACACATATGTCCTTGACAGACTGTCCAAGCCTGAAGGAAATGGCCTTGGTCAAACATAGATACTATGTACCATAAACTCGCTGTGTAAGCGTTTGTGGTCATTGTTTAACTTCCTGGAATTGGTGATGCTTTGTGTTGCTTACCTTTAAAAGACACTGAGAGAATAAACTTGGAGCACAGTACTTGCTATCAGTCCTTCTGACATCTAATCTCTCTGATTCTTCTTTCAAATCCTCACTCCCCTAGTTGTGGTTTTCCTATTGACTGACTGGCAGGCTCAGGCACCACTTGGTCCCCAGAACCTGTGCTAAAGATTGAGTTACCTGAGAGATGAAGACTGGTCCATTGTCAGACCCAAACAGAGTAGGCAAACCATACTTGGGTATAATATCTTTGCCACTACACTGGCAGTCTTCTTTGTAGGGTAGGCTTCTACCTATTCTGAAAAGGTATTTATAGAAACTAGCAGATATTTGTATCCATATATGCCTGGTTTTACCTCTGTGTAGTCCCAATAGGCTCCTGGTCATTGGCTTCTGACTCTGGTTTCTGAAATTTCGATTGGTGCCAGAGGGGTTCATGGTAGCTGCCTGTGGCCATGGATCAACTGGGTTCATCTGAAAGTGGGGCTGGGAATGAAAGGTGGACGGAGGGTGAAAAGGGATGAAGCCAAGACAAAGTTCTCTGATCAAGGCTCAATTCTTTAATGTTCAGCTCTCAATTTAAAGGGAAAGGCCCCACCAAAACCCTTTCTGGTTTAAGCTGGAGATGGGTGGGATAATCTGTTCTCAGTCAGGCCAGAGATATCTCAAGGCAAGACCAGAGGCAGTTCTTCTTCTAAGTTCCCTGCAGCCAAGGTGGGTAACTCCATCTAGATCCTATCACTTGGTCTGTTGTGGTAAACAAGGTCTTTCAGGCCTGCTCAAGGCTGGGGGAAGGGCACACTGACAGGTAGGACAATTTGAGATTATCTAGTCTATCAATTGACCCATATTAAATATTTTGTATCATGACTCTTAGAACAGTTCCTTCAGTTTTTAGTGACCCAGGTGTGATGCTTGATGAATCTGATGGATGGGTTGTTTAGTGAACTCCTAGGTAAGATGGTGCAGCCCTTTGCAGTGTGTATATATACTATCGATTTCCCTTATAAATCCCTTGACATTTGGCCTGATCCTATTTGTCCTTTGCAGTATATTCAGGGATGGCTGGGAGTGCTGTGGATGTTAAGGCTACCAGAATGTTCGTAGTGAATGTTTGCATGGCCTCCCTTCCTGCTTCATCAGCTTGTCTGTTCCCTTGAGCTATATCTGATGTTCATTTTTGATGCCTAGAGAAATAGATTATGGCCACTCTGAAAGGAAGGCATGTCTTCAGAAAAGCAAGTATTTCTTCCTTATTTTTGATGATCTTTAAGCAGTTAATAATCTTCTCTCTTGTTATATAAACCCATGTACATGTACAAAGCTATATCTGTTTTCAGTTTAAATGCTGGTTATAGTCCCCTCTGCCAACTTCAAACTTAAGTTAAAGCTATCAACTCAGCCTTTTGGGCTGATGTTTCTGGCATCAGAGCAGTTGTCCAAACAACAGAGTTCCAGTCCACCACCACTACTGCATACTTGCCTCTGTTCTTGATGAAGTTGCTCTCATCTGTGAAGTAGTTGCTGTTCTGTATCTGGCTTTGGTTTAAAAGCATGAATATTTTTCCTCTGTTCAGAGAGCTGAACATACAGATTGGATGGAGATATTTTAGCATGATGAGAAGCACATTTTTGTCTATACCTAGAAGACAATCAAAGGAAATTTAAAATCTTGAGCTTGTGACTGAAATTAGTAGTTAGTGCTTTATCAGCTTAACAAAATTCCATTGATCAATATTAAAACCCCAAACCTTCAAAGTATCAGGGGTAAGAAATCTGAAACATTTTTTCTTACCTTAGATTGCTTTCTTATACCTTTATAACTTGCATTTACATACCTTAAAACACCAACTTTCACATTCTCAGACACTTTCCCAGACCCTCAGAACTTACTTAAGCTCATACATTTTCCATCTAACCATTTGCCAGAGACATGAGTAGTTATTACTGAGAGCAGTCATTGCAAAGTAAATTCCTTTAAATCCTTTTGTCTTTTGTTTTGTCCTTCTCTGTCATAATCAGGTGGCCTTCTAAATACAGGACAGAGTTTGGAGAAAGCCTTTAAGCAAACATGTTTTGGTCTAGAGGAGAGGGAGCTATAATCCAACTTCAGAGCCAGCTTCCAAATAATGAGGAACAGCATAAACCAACTTTAATATTATCCATACTCAAAAGACATCTGAATTCTTGCTAAACAGAATCCAGTAACCAGAAAGCACAGAGATAAATTCTGAGTGCTGGCCACCAAAGCAGCCAAAGCAAGTAGCATTGGTATTAATGGTAGTTACTAGTCCAGCAGGATCAGAGAAAGCGGAAACAAAACTGTCCTGTCCAGTGGGGTGGTGAACTGGGACTAGGGGACCACCTGAAAGATAGAACTGAGGGACAAGGGCACTCAGAGAACTTCAGCAAGTCAAGAAGTCTGATCAAGCGGTCAAATTTTTATTGTTCCCACACCAGGTTATATACACATAGAAGCAGGATATGGGGAGGGGGATGACATAGGGTCTCTTTGTTTCTGGGGAGTGCAGGTGTTCTCAGGGGGAGTATAGATGTTCTCAAGAACAGGATATTGGCTGGGTGAAAAGTTCGCAGAAGAAACAGAGCAGAACAGGTTGCTAGGTACCTGTCCATAAGATCTATTGGTCATTTGTTCTTATCTAAGCTAGTACTTTCCCACCAAGGCTACCTGTCCATAAGATCTATGATTATTTGTTCTTAACTGAATTAGTCCTTCCCCACAGAGCCCAAGACTTTGTGCTAGTAGGCACATATAGCTGACTAAGGAGTTGATGTTTAAGCAGGGTTGCTCCTGATACAAAACCAATAAACACAGAACCTAGAAAGCTCACACACCCAAAAATCAAACATGTGATGTCTACCATTATTTATACATTCAGTTGATTCTGAGCAATTTCCATCTTGAGTCCCATGTTTGCCACAAGAAAACATAACTTATGTCTAGAAAACAAGGACACACCAGAAAACAGGGTCCCACCTGTACACACAAAATAGACAGATAAATTTTCCCAAACAATCAGGACTAGGTGGGTAGGAGACATATCACTGTTTTGCTTTTGACAAGAGTAAAAAGGGATAAGAAGAGGATGACATTTGGCCATAGAGGGCTTTTAGGTACTCCATACTCAGGGATGTACTTGGGAAGTTGGAAAGGGAAAAGGTATATCAGATTGTGTGATTTGGAGGAGAAAGATGAAGGGAATGGCTGGTGAGCCTGAGGTCAAGCTGATGGGGAAAGTGAAGGAAATAGAGGCTCTTGCTTTGACTAGGAAGTCCATCCCCAGCAAGAGGACAGGACAGGTTCATGCTACTAGGAAGAAGTAGGTAAGGGTGATACCCCTAATTATACAAATAAGCGATAGAGTTTGGTGAAGTTGATGAGGCTGTCCTTACCATATGGCCTTATATACATCCTGATAGAAAATAGGGGGTTAGGTCCATGACACTTCACCAGGACTGAGTAGGTAACCCTCCAGAAAAGAGGTGGGTTGCCCTGATACTGTTATGACTACCCAAGTCTCTCAGAGATGGTAATGGTTGGGCAAGGGAACCTATATCCCCTCAGTCATCCATGGTCATGCCTAAGAGGGCAGCTAGAGGGCAATCTGGGCCTGGTATGCCCACACTGTGAGGGACATGGAGCAGTCAACAGCCCAATGTCCCTTTTGATGACATTTTAGACATTATGGTGGTCTGAATGAAAATAGCTCCCATAGACTCACAGAAGTGGCATTATTAGAGGTGTGGCCTTGGAGTAGATGTGACCTTGTTAGAGGAAGTATGTTACTTGGAGTGGATTTTGAGGTTTCAGATGTTCAAGCTAGTCCTAGAGTCATTCTCATTTCTCAGCTACCTCTCTAGCACCATGTCTGCTTGCATGCCATCATGCTTCACACCATGATAATGGACTAAACTTTTGAACTATACATCAGCTCCAATTATATATTTCTTTATAAAAATTGTTAAGGTCATGTGTCTCTTCATACCAATTGAAAGCTTAAGTAAGAAAGACACAGTAGAAGTGGTTTGTAAAAGTAACTTTTATTCACTAGATGTAATTGTTTTCTTGGAGGCTTACTGCTGAATAAGCTCATCCCTTCCAGCTCTTACTGAACTTTGGCTGACTGGTTAACTCAGCTCTTCTGGCTCAAACTTTTCTCCAGGCTGACAGATTCAAACTGGTATCTGTCAGCTTCTGACTGAATTGCTCTTCTTGGCCTCTAACTCTAGCAATCTGTTCTAATCTTCTGGCTCCTTCTCATTCTTTGGCTCATTCTGTCTTCATTTGTGTCTAGCTTGTTCTCTCTGCAACCTGTCTCTATAAAACTGTTCTGGTAAAAACTGCCTTTGAACTCCACGAACTGAACTGTCACCAACTTGGCTCCCTTGCACTGCATCTCAACTGAATTCCAACCGACTGACTCAACTGAAAAACTGACTTCAACTCCTTCCTGTGCTCTCTTAAGGAGCCTCTCTTTCCTGTGCTGTTCTTGTGAAACTTGATTATATCTAATTCTGTCAAAGCTTTCTCTGATCTGTCACCTTATCTGTCCCTTAATCAGACAACATTGTTTGGGACTGAAGGTGTGTACTAAGGGCATGTCTGTATTCAAGCCAGAGGGATTAAAGATGTGTGGTATATCTGTATTCCATCCAGAGCACACAGACCTAGATAGTCTTTGAATGTGATCAGAGCAGCCATATTTCTGGATTATAATTCCTTTACAGTGGTTTAAGAGGCCCAGTGACTAGGCCCGATGTCCTCTGGCTTTGGGAGGTGAGAAAGCCTGGGCAGTTGCTATAGCCAATTGAGAGGCCTTAGCCAACATCAGGTATTTTTGTTTGGGGGCTTTTAAGTCTCTCCCATGGTACACCTTGAAGGCTACCTCTAAGACTTCTTAATTTAAGTTTGGCTCTAGTGTCAAGGAAACTGTGGGAGAAGTAGGTCATGAGGAGTTGTTTTCCAACTGGGGTCTTGGGATCCAAATTGCTATTGTTGGGGTTCAAGAAATGCCCCACAAACTACTCAGACACTGATACCAGTTAGACAGGGATAGTTTATTGAATGCATACCCTGAGACTGATTGGTTATGGACTCTTAGTTTGGGTTTCCATTGCTGTGAAGAGACACAGTGACCAAGGCAACTTAGGGCTGGCTTACAGGTTCAGAGGTTCAGTTCATTATCATCATGGCAGGAAGCCTGGCAGCATCCAGGCAGGCATGGTGCTGGAGGAACTAAAAGTTCTACATCTTGTTCTTAATGCAAAGAGGAAAAAGACTTGCTTCCAGGCATCAGGAAGAAGGATCTCAAAGCCTACCCCCACAGGACACGCTTCTTCCAACAAGGCCACACCTACTTCAACAAGATCACATCTCCTAATAATGCCCCTCAATGGGCCAAGGATATTCAAACCACCACAGAGATTCAGGAGCTAAAACTGAAACTCTAAGCCAGAATGCTACAGATATTTTAAGCCTGAAATTCACAAACATGTGCCAAATTATTCTACCAATCAGGATTTAGGGATAGGGGACTTCCTTAGGGACATGTCTTTGTGGTAC